TTCGCTGGATAGTTCGCCGATTGGGCTACCCGAGTACCTTCTTCTAGCGGCATATGTGGCTATAGCTCTTGACCAATACGACCGACCTCCATGTTGAACTGCTCGTCGGTGGTTGCGATATACCATCCCTTCCGTAGCGAAGAAGCCGCTCTTCTCATTTCTCATATCGCACATGCGCCCGTGACCCTTGCAGCCACGCATCTTGTCCTTGATGTCCTTGAAAGTGCCTATCCACGAAAGGCATCGCCCTGGCTGCTCCAGATGGATGTCGCAGTCGTTTTGCTCTGCAACTGGTTGGTCGCCGACTTCGCGTTCCTCTGGATATGTCGTGCCTCGAACAACTTCTTCTCCGATTCCGCCGCGACGGGGTTCAGATTCTGCCGGGCACATTCTGCCCCACACGGCGGGGGAAACCAAACTCTCCGAGGTCGCTGTCCACGTTGAACTCGCACGAGCATCTCTGCACCCGTCCAGGTGGAGAAATGATTTCCGTTCCAGTTGCTGAACCTCTCTGCCTTGCCACCCTCGCCCAGGACGGCGTTCGCGAGCCTGGAGTCGGCGACGCAAGCCACTTCCGCGAGGCCCAGCCTGCCGCGGGCCTCGGCCGCCCCCCAAGCGGTGCCTGGCATATCGCCCAGCGCCGCCGTCGCTGCGATCAGGGCCCCTAGCACGTAGTTCTTTGCACTAAATGAAATTGCGCGGCCGCCTCGGCACGCCAGAGGGCGTCGGGAGATCCTGCGGCACGGGGGTGCTCGACGGGGAGGGCGCCGTGCCGACGCAGTGCCGCTTGCTCGCCCTGACCCTGACGTCTGGCCCCAACTCATCCGGCGAACCCGTCGGCCTGTCGATGAGACCCTTCTGGGGGATCTCCTTGGCCTGGCGCGCATGCTCCTCGCCTGATCTTCACCCTCGTTCTCGACGACCTGCTGCGCCTCCGCGTCCGTCAGCTTCTGGAACACGATTGCCGATAAGCTTGCTGGCGATGGCGAATTCGCGGCCCCTGGAGCACTCGGCGGAGGCGGCGGAAGCGGCCTCGTCGCCACCGAGCCCTCGCTGTCCGCGGCGCTGGACGGACCCGTCTCGCGCACCAGACGTGGCCGCGCTGCCCTCGCGCTTTTCAAACGATCGAGGTACTCCCTCGAGCGCGCAGGCTGCAGCAACATATGATCCTTGACTATCGCGAAGTTGCACTTGAGCACGAGTTCCCCACGCCCCCTTGCGCTGCATCACGTCGGCGTAGAGGTTGGAACCCTGATGCGTCTGGTCTCGAGGAGCGCATGATCCCGCCACCCGCTGCCCCGATCGGGCATGCGCACTCGCTCTGGGGCTCGCGTCGTTGAACCTACTGTGCCAAAGCAGTAGTAGGACACATCGCTAATTGGATCTATCGCGAGGCCAACCCATCGAGATTGTTCGACTTGTCGAGCTGCTTTGTTTTGCATCTGATCCACAAGGACCGCAATACCCCTCATCTTCTCGAAGCATATGCGTACGACGTTGTCCCGATATGTCTGCTAGACTCCTACCTGCTGAACCCCGGGGTTCACATCTCGGGAATCGAACTCGACGGTGCACACGCAGTCGACCCAGATATCCCGACATACTTCTGCACCTTCCCCCCAGTTCGCCCGCGCCCAGAGAGACCCAAGGATCGGTCGTAGCATAGCTTCACTTAGCTGAGGATATGGACCCTGGAGGGCCCGAGGGAGCTCTGCTGCGCCTGGGGCGACGGTTTTTCCACGGTCTTTTGATCGCAACCAGGGCGCTGTCCCAATGCGCCCTGGCGCTCGAGGCCATGTTGCCCAGTGGCCCGAGGGGGGCACCGTCGCGGGGATCTCGCGCTGGAACGGACGCGAGCACAAAACGTTGTGTGCTCATAGCCGGTCACCAGTCCACATTTAACGATTCAGCCCATCGACCCCCAACAAGACTGGACACTTGCGGTCAAACTCGTTGATGCTCACCCACTCGTCGTCAAGGTCCTTCGCGTTGAAAGTCGCCCCCGACGGTGCACCTGCCATGTCTCCCCCGACGAATGAGAAGCCCAAGCTCTTGCGCGGGCAGATCTCCATGAGCTTGTCCAGACGCTCGCGGGCGCATCCCAGCTGCCCGACGCCACCGACGGACCTGGGCGCCCCGCCGTCCAGCAGCGCATGGCCCTTGCACTCCTCAATGCTGAAGGCCACGGAGTTGTCTAACTCCCCGTCGAAGCCCTTCTTGATCCCGCCCCCGTCGTCCGCCGCGCCGACGAGCGCGACGCGTTCGCTCTCGTAGCCGTCGAGCTCGCTGACGCGGGCAGCTGCGCCCACAAAGCTGTTGAATGCCCGTCGCCTGTCGGCCCGCCTCTCCAGCTCTGCCCCGATTGGAGCAGTCCTTCGCCGCGCGGCCCCGCTCACCACAGAATAGACAGGCACCCTTATCTATGACCTTGGTCGCGTCAGCTCCCTTCGACGCAGTCGCGCGCGTCGAGTGTCGGCCGCGGCCGCTGCCTCGACCCTTGCCTCCACCTCGATCAATGCTCTGTCTTTCCCGTGGAGGCCCTCCTCGACGCGCTGCTCGACCTCGCCCCGCGCCCGCGGCTGGCTGCGTCGGGGGTGCGCTGCGCGCGCCGAAGCCGACGGCCAGGATGTAGCCTCGCGCGTTCTTGACCTCGTTGATCAGCTTCCGGGCAACTGCAACCGCGCGCGGTGCTGCAGAGGCCGTCTCGGTCCAGTCGTTCATCTCGCGCGTGGTCGCCGCTGCCGCCAAGGCCGCGTCGCTCTGGCCATGCTCGCCTGCAGCGACCCCCTCACTCAGCGCTGCGGTCACCAGGCCCTCAGCTGCCATCATCGCGGACTCGGTGGTGCCCGCTGCCTCGTCGAATCCGCTATGGTAGGCCTCGTCATAGACCTCCTCGGCATAAGCGGCGAGCTCCTCAGCGTCCTCGAAGATCGCGTGCGCCCCCTCACTTGACTTGTAGCCCTTCTGCTTACCACTGGCTGCGAGCTGCTCCTCTGGCCACTCTTCTGCCAGAGCTTTCTTCACGGCCTTGTAGAGGTAAGAGTTGCCACTCGGGCCCGATGTCGCCAACGCTGTCGCCTGCCCAGACGGACCCAAACTCGTCCCATCTAACAGACCCAGGCCCAAAATAAACTCGCGCATGAAGCCTTGGACAGGAATCTCTTCGCACACGGCGTGGAGCGGCTCCCGATCTTATTGAAATGGATGTCGAAACGTGGAACCCAGCGTTTCGGCCCTTGCCCGGGCTGGCGATACACTCCACGCATAAACTCTCGCCACTCGGAAACCGCTTCCTGCATCGCAACAGCGCCTCGGACGCCCTTCAAAGCTTCGACAACCGTCTCGCCGCCATCCTCTTTGACAAGATCCGTCAAATAACACTTATTCGGCTCATGCCGCTGCTGCGAGTCCTCGTGCATCGCCTGAACTCGTCGCGATCCCCAATATATGCGGTCCTCCCCTCTGGTACCGAGGATCCACAGCTTCACCTTCTCCTCGAAACTCCCCTGAGCCGACGCATCCCCACTCCAAACAGGGATCTTGACTCCCGCTGGATGTTCTGCCGCCATCTGAGATTTGGAGATCGACTCGAAGTGGGCTGCAACTTCTTCCCGCTACCAATGTCAGTGGAGCGTGTACTCCACGGATCTCAGCCTTGCACTTCGAGATAAATTCTAGGAACAGCTGCTTCCAAATCTGTATGCTCGAACTGGTACTGAAATCACAAACGGCTGCTGTGCTCGAAAGAGCTCGAAATAAACCGCTGATCAACGTCATATAACAGCTAAACAACGTAAGATGTCGAAAAGGTGTTGATACAGTATCACTCGCGAGGCCCCCCTGGGCTTCGGACCGCAGTAGAACTATCACCAAAAACTTGCCGAACGGCTGGCACTAAGCCAGACGGCTGCGGAAAGCAAGGCAATATATACGGCACGTGCTGTTGGTTGTGTTATGGGGTCGAGAACTCTCTGGCCAAAATCAAATTTACAACCTTCGATTCACACCCCCCTCCCAGGGGGGGGGTTCAAACCCCCCCACCTCGGCGCCGGCGCCGGCGTCGGCGGCCGCCGGCAGCGCCGACGGCGGGGACGCAGCGACGATGACCAGAGGCAGCCCAAGGGGGGGGAGGTTCAAACCCCCCCCCCGCCCCCCCGGGCGCCGGCGCTCCCGCTGGAGCTGGCGGCGGCCAGTAGCGCTGGCGCTGGCGCCGGCAACGGCGGGGACGCAGCGACGATTACCACCACTACCACCACCAGCACCACCACCAACCACCACCACAACCCACCACCACCACCAAGCCACCGCACAACCACCACCACCACCACCATCACAGCCACCACCACCACCACAACCACCACAACTCACCAGTACCACAACCACAAAAATCTACCACCACGACCACCACCACAACAATCTACCACCACCACCACCGCCACAACCACCAACACTACCAGCAGCAAAACCCACCACCACCACAAACCACCACACCACCACCACCACCGCCACCACCACCACCACCAGCACCACCTCCACAAACCACCGCCACCACCACAAGCCACCACCACCACCGCCACAAAACCACCACCGCATCACCACCAAACCACCACCACCACCACAGTCCACCACCACCACAATCCACCACCACCACCACCAACACCACCACCACCCACCCACCACCACAACCACCACGTGTGATGCTCTGCATATCCCTTAGACCAAAAATAAGACAAGCTTAGAAGAAACACCACCCATAGCAGCTGAACAATGTTTAGGTCGCGCGTTGCCCTTCCTCCCCCTCCTCCTGCCGCCCCCTCGCTACTCCTCGTCATCACTCTCCTTCTCCCCTTCATCGCCCCTCTTCCTCGTCCCAGTCATCCTTCTCCGCCCCCCTCCTCCTTCCTCCATTCCCTCCCCCTCCTCCTCCTCAACCTCCCCCTCTTTCTGCCCCTCCTCCTTCCCTCCCCCCTCCCCCTCCCCCTCCCAATCTGGAGGCCCAGGGCGGCCACCGAGGTGCCCCATCAGCTCGCGGCCCCTCGCCGTCAGCTGCCCCGGCTCGGCCGCGAAGGCCGGCAGCGGCCGGCTGGTGTACAGGGCCTCCCGCCCCCCCGAGAGGGCAGGCACACCCTCGAGCAGAGGCCCTCGCGGCGGCCCCAGGTCTCCGACGACCTCTGTTTTTCGCTCCGGACCAGCTCCGGTCCAGGTCCCAGGTTCCCGACGATCTCCGAAGGCTTCTTGGCAGATGCCTCGGGCACCAGGACCATCACGGACTGGAGCTCCAGGACGACGAAGGCTGCCACTGGGGGGGCGGCCAGGGCCTCTGAGGGCTGCCCCTGTGGGAACAAGAATCACACCGGAGCCCTCGTCGACAGTCGGGGGGAGGGATCCTCCTCCACCTGGCCCCCTCCTCCCCTCTTCCTCCTCCTCCTCCTCCTCCTCCTCCTCGTCCTCCTCCTCCTCCTCGTCCTCCTCCTCCTCCTCCTCCTCCTCCTCCTCCTCTCCTTCCGCTTCTCCTTCTCCTCCTCCTCCTCATCCTCCTCCTGCCTCCTCCTCCTCCTCCTCCTCCTCCCCCTGATCCTCCTCCCATATTCCTCCTCCTCCCCCTCCTCCTCCTCCTCCTCCTCCTCATCATCATCATCATCATCATCCTCATCCTTCTCCGCCTCGTCTCGTCCCCCTCTTGCTTCTCGCCCTTCCCTGCGTTCTTGCTCCTCACCCTCCGGGGAGGCGGTCGGCGGAGGAGGGAGGGGGAGGGAAGGAGAGAGGGGGGGGGCATGAGAAAGTTGATGTAGAGGAATCCCAGATGGTGTCAGAGCAGATAGGGTCGGAGGATCGCGCCGTATCGTCGATGCATCACCAATGCAACGACAATGCATCGGCGCCCTCGGCGATGCTCTGGCGGCGTCGGCGTGGAGAACATCGGGCTTCACATCGAGCCGCATCGCCGATGCATCGGCGCTGCGGCGCAATCCTTCGACCCGACCCCATGGGCCCCATTTGGGAGGCCTAGATTGTTAGAAGGGGGGGGGGGGGAGGAGCCCCCTGAGGAGGGGAGTGGCTGAGGAGGACGAGGCGGGGGGGGGGCAGGGGAGGAGGGAGGTGGGAGAAGGGATTCGGGGGGACGAGAGAGGGGGGACAAAGAGGTGATAACGGAGGGGGAGGACAAGAAAGGGACGAGGCAGGAAGCGGGCGGAGTGACAGGGAAGAGAGGGGAGAAGGAAATGCCGCCTGGCGGGCACACGGCGATTTGGTTCCCGACAGGATCGGAGGAGGAAAAGGACGAATACTAGGGACCCGTCCACAAGAGACCCTCCGCAAGAAGCCTGACCCTGAGACCCCAGGACGTCCATTGATGTTGGGTGTGGGAACGTCGCGCCCTCCATCGCAGAACCATCGAGACCCAAGACACCCAGGGCACCCTGGAGGCAAGCAGGGTGTTTCTCGGCGTGGGCCCCCACTGTACCGGGGCGCACGACGGGGGAATGGCAAAGTGGGGCCCAGCGACGTTGCTGCCTGGAGGCGCGCCAGCGGCGGCCATGCCTCGAGAAATGCGCCTGGCGGCGGCGCCCGAACCAGCTGCACACGCCACGGCCGCACCCCCTGCGCGGCCGCTCACGGGAGCAGTCGCGTGACGCTCTGGCGTGCCCCTTCTGATGGGCGTGTTTTCCACGACCACCACCGTGAGTTGGAGGGGGTGGGGTCCTCCTCCTCCTCCTCCTCCTCCTCCTCCTCGCCCTCCTCCTCCTTCCCCCTCCAATTTATGGTGGTGGTGGTGGGAGACAGGCTCATCACCTTCCGTTCCGCTTTCGCTCCGCTCCCGTTCCGCCTCCGCTCGAATGCGCTCAGCGTCCTGCAGGGGCCTACCGCCACCAGAGCACAACGGCCGCGGGGGCACGAGAGCGACGCGAAAGTGGCACGGAAAGGACTCGGACTCTGGAATACAAAAACAAATGTCTGTAACACAAAAGCTCCCCTGAACGGCTACATGCCCGAACCAGGCATCCGACGTCGCGACTTGTTCGCAACGCGTGTCCCCAAAGGTCTGGACCCCTTTTCCGGGAACCCAATCCGCTTGTTGACAGTCCTGGGGCCCAGTCAGCGTCCCCAGAGGCCGAAAGTGTGAGCTGAAGATAACTATACACATGCACCGATCCTGCCCAGGCCCATCCGGGGCGCAGGATCGGTTCAGATGTTGTCTTGCTCGCTTGTGCTGTTGCTCTGGGGGGGCAGGAGATGGGAGCGGACAAAATGCGTTCGCATCCGGCGCTAAAATGTGGATGCCGCCACTGGCCGAAGGCAAAGCTACAAGGCATCGGGATGGGCGCAGGGTCGGCGCCGCCCCGGCCAGGCCAGGAGGGCGCGTGCACCGATCCTGGGCGCATCGGATGAGCCTGACCAGGATCGGCGCAGAGCCCGGGAGCGGTGCGGGGCCCAGGATGGTCTCGACCGGGAGAACGACCGGGTGCGCAGTTTCCTCTCGCTTGAAACCCACAGGAGCGCCGTCGTCATCCGCCACCACGCGAGGGGGTGGTCACAGCTCCTCCGCCCAGGGAGGAGACGCATCGTCGAACTGATCCCCATCCCCACTGAAGAGGTACATCATATCTAGGGAGAACCAAGAGGTACCGACACCCCCTAATCCAGAAGCCGCATTAAAGTGATCATTTGTTGTTTGGCCCCCCTCTGTCACAGAGGGGGTCCAAGATGCCCCCCCCCCCCTCTGTCACAGAGGGGGTCTAAGATGCCCCCCCTCTGTCACGGAGGACCTCGTTCTGGGTGCTCTTCTGCCACGGGAGCTCCCGATACGATTGGAGACGATAAAATGCGATGGCGGGATGGGGGATTGGAGGGGGAGGGAGAAGAAAACGATGAAGGAGAGGAGGCAACGACAGCGCCTATGAAAGCACAGTTTCTTTTTCCTTCTCCGCTCGGGCAGCGGTCGCCGAGCACGACGGCGCGCGCGAGTCGCCGCCGCTCACGATGCATTGACAAGGCCTCCGCTGCTGCGGAGGGTCGACGTTCGGCCGATGAGGCCTCCCTCCGCTGCTGCGGAGGGGCGGCTCCTGTGCGATGGTTCAGCGAAGTTCTTCCCAGGGATTGGTCTCGGGATGGTGTTCGACCCACCTCCAATTCGTGGCCTCCCAGTGCCCCTGGCCGCTACTCCACCCACTGTGGCTGGTCCACCAGTCACTGGGGCGTTGGTCGCTGCCGAATGCAACTTGCATGTCGCGCCAGGCGGAGTCGACCCTGCGGTCCTGCAGCGAGGAAGCCTCGCCGCTCGGCTGTTGCCACTCGCGCTCCTCGCCCTCCCTGGTGCGCCACCACTCATCCCTGCGCCGCTCCCCGTCTGTTGGTTGCTGCCATGGCGTCTGTGGCCTCCGCTGCTGCGGGGGCTCTGGCGGCTCGTGGCCGAGGGCAGCGATCGCGCCCCAGATGTAGCTGGCGGCGCCGCGATGCCCTCGCTGCTCCAGCGGCGCAGGCCCTGGAGATGGCCACTGCGGGGTCGGCTGCCACCTTGGGGGTGATAAGTAATTATTTCTATAATTATCCCCTTCCTGTCAACTCCCGCCCCTTCCCGACACTCATTTCCTTATGTCATCCGCCGTCCTGCTCAGCCTATTCCTCATTCCCTCTCCTCCCTCCTGCCCTCCCCGTGCCCCGCCCTCCCTCTCCCCCCCTCCCCCTTTTTCAACCCCCCGCCGCGACCTTCCATCGCCGGCCGCGGGCCAGTCGCGGCCGTCGTCCGCGTTTTCGTCTGCCCATCTTGGTGGGCGCCACGCCTGTTGGGCGCGCTCGTCTTGCTCGTCCCTCTCGCGGTGCTGCTCTGGTGCCTGGCGCTCGGGCCCGTGCTGCTCGGGCGCCGCTGCTGCGGCGCCCTGCAGCGCAGCTGCTTGCTGTTTCTGGGCGCGCCTGTCCTTCTTCTCTTTGTTTCTCTCCTGCTTCCTCCCCTGCGAACGCGAGGCCATGCGCATTTGGAACAGGAGAGGGCAGTGGGCGCCGCCGTGCCAGCGCCCCCCCACCTCCACGGTCTCCGGCGGGAACGTCTTCTGCAACGCGCGGAAGAGGGTCACCTCGCGATTATTAGAGAAGCGGTGGTCCCCTCTAGCCTCAGCGTCGGCGCGCCTCAGTTTCTCACGCTCCTTCTCTTGGATCTTGCGTTGGCATTCCTCTGACTGAGTCAGTAAATCATAGAGGTGCTCGCGGGCGTCTTTTTTCTGGTAGTAGCGATCGTAAGGCATCCCAGGGCCTCCGTCCTGGCAGTGGTGCCAGTACGTCGGCTCCGATGATGGCCTGGTGGAGGCCCCCGCTGCTGCGGGGGCCTCTGCCTTGCTTCTGTTACGGCACCCGATCTCACCGATCACCGACTTGCGTGCGAAGAGCAACCCCGTCTCGTCTCTGTCGTGCACGGCGCTCAGCGGCCAGCACAGGGTGTACTCGCCAGGCCTGTTGAGAACGAAGATGCCGCAGCTGTCCAAGCACGGAGCGCCGTCCAATCCGCGCCAGAAGTACGCTGCTGCCGTCTCCAATCGCAAGCCTAGACCCCGAAGACTCGGCAGCGTCTGTGCGAGCGCCATGTTGAAATCCCAACAAAGGATGTCAACGCTGTTGTCCTGCAAGATCGCCGCCAGCCTCCGCCACCACGTCTTGTGAGCCTCCTGAAAGCCTTTGGAACCTTTTCGCCGTGTCGCGGTGGAGGTGCACCGCGCGCACCCGCGCTTTCGAGCCGAAGTGGGCGTAGGTTTGATCGAAGTAGACCTCAACCACCATGATCCTCGAGAACGCTTCCATCTTGTTCCCTTTTGCAGTTTTGTAATGGCCGTCGACACTCCTTTCCCAGTGGAGCAGCCGCATTCCGTAACACAGATTTGCGCGCGCAGCGATGCACAAGGACTTGTCCTCACGCCCGCGCAGGGTCAAGTATTCGTACTCTGGTCGATTCTGGAGCTGTTGGCAATCGCCAACACTCGCAGCACGACTTCCTCTTGCTGTCGCCATCGCTGCTGCGGGGGCGACAAAAGGCCCACCGATGCTGCTGCTTTGGCCCTCCGCTGCTGACGCCCCCGCTGCTGCGGGGGCGTCCGCCTGCAGCGGCGGTG